GAGAGGGGCGTGGGCACTCCTGGCTCTCCCCAGCCCGGGGGCAGCCCCTGGGTCCCGTTCTGTAGAAGGGCCCCTGCCTGGCTTTGCTCAGCTGCCTGCGGCTTGTCAGCTCTGTCCATGCTGAGACTGCCATGGCGAGGCCTTGGATTCCCAGCGCCACCAGGCCTGGCTGCCTGGCGAGGCTCTGAGACCCTGTCCCCCCACGCAGATGGCGCTGTACTTCTGCTCAGGGGTGCTGCAGGACCAGGTGCAGTTCCAGCACTACGCCCTCAACGTACCGCTCTACACGCACTTCACCTCGCCCATCCGCCGCTTCGCCGATGTCCTGGTGCACCGCCTCCTGGCTGCCACGCTGGGTAAGGACAGGCCTGCGCCAGCTCAGGGCTACCCACCCCCGGGCTGGAGGCCCAGTGCCCAGAGGACACACTGCCATCACCCTGGAGTCTGAGCAACGGCGCAACTGAGCACATGGGAGCCTGGGTCTGGAAAGTCCCTCTGTGTGCGGGTGCTGGGGATGCCACAACAGGCTTATGACAGCCCTGGTCATGACCGGGCTCAAGGGCCTGCCTGACCTGCCTCAGCTCTTGGGGCTGGGAGGCCTTAGCTCCTACCTGGGCCAGGGTGCCATGCTGCCCAGCACCCCACCACGCCCCTGCCCACCCTCTGCCCCCACTTCCTGGGCACATGCTCACCCCAAGCCCCAGGCCCAGGACAGATCTTGGTGGTCCCACAAGCATGGAGCATGGGAGGGCAGGAGCACAAACAGCCCCCTGCTGTCCCCGTCCACACTGGGGAGATAAAAGCTGTGCTGGGTCACACTCCACCTCTCGCCTAGCTGGGGGACACTGGCATGTCATGGCAAACAGTACCGAGCTCTGGACCTCCCCTCCCGTCTCAAATGGCAAGCTCACCCGAGGGCCCTGCCAAGACATCCAGCTACACCCACCCGGGATGTAGCTTCCCCAAGGACCCCGGCAGCCAGAGAGCAGGCCCCTCCATAAGCAGTGCAGGTTTGGGGTACAGGGGGTGCCATGCCGGGGGTTGTCTTTACAGACACGTGAAGGAAGGAAATGCCAGCGAATGGTCCCCTGAAGAGAAAGAAGAGTGCTGTCCCTGCCTTGTCTCTTGCCTGGGGGACTTGGTGCCTGTCCGAATGCCAGCTGAGGGGCCGGCCAGGCCTGCCGTGGGCCTGGCCCAGGCTGTGAATTTTCCTCATGTCCAAAGTGCTTGGGGATCCCAGGGCCCAACACGCAGTGTGGAGTGAACATGGTTTTGATAAATGGAGTAGACCAGAAGAGAGAGAGCTGAGTCCAGCTGGAAACAATCAGGCTCTGGTCTGAAGTTCAATGATCAAGAAGCAAGTTCAGGTCTAGGTCAGCGCTGCATGCAGTTGGCACAGCCACAGCCTGTGCTAACAGCCCAGCACCAGCAGGGGGCGCAGCCCTCACACCCACCCTCCCACCCCCCCACACACACCCACACACACCCACACACACCCACACACACCCATACACACATACACACACCCATACACACACACACCCATATCCCCACACACACACCCATACACACACCCACACACCCAACCCATACCCACACACACACACCCATACACACACCCACACACCCAACCCATACCCACACACACACACCCATACACCCCCCCACACACACCCATACACACACCCACACACCCAACCCATACCCACACACACACACCCATACACCCACACACACACACCCATACACCCACACACCCAACCCATACCCACACACACACACCCAAACACACACAAACCCATACACACACCCACACACCCAACCCATACCCACACACACACACCCATACACCCACACACACACCCATACCCACACACACACCCAAACACACACACACACCCATACACACACACACCCATACACACACCCACACACCCATACACACACACACCCATACCCACACACCCAACCCATACCCACACACACACACCCATACACCCACACACACACCCACACACACCCATACACACACACACACACCCATACANGCGTCATAGGGCATGTTGGGAAGACCCCAGGATGGCCATTTGGGTGACAGGAGGGGACAGAAGACAGCACAGCCGCTGTCGTCAGACCTTTGAGGTGCCCAGTACAGGGTCAGCCCTGGCCTCACCTGTTAGTTCCACCTGCCTTCACGATGGCCCTGCGGTCAGGTGCTGTTGCCGCCCCTGCCTTATATTTGATGGTGAGGAGGATCGAGAGAGCTCTGTGATTCCTCCAGGGTCCCACCACAAGAATGGACTGGAGTCCAGATTCAAACCTTGTCTTAGGAGACTCAGTGGTTGGTAAGATGCTTGCATGCAAGAGTTTTCTGCCCGAAGTGATGGGCACAAGGACAGATTGGAGATGAAAGGCAAAGTGGTCGCTTAAAAGGCTTTTAATGCAACCCAGATAGCAATGTGGAAGCTCCTCATTCCACATGCTTGGTTCCCTGCCTGGTAGAAGGGCCTGCTCTCATGGTCAACTGCCCAAGCTGCCACCCTACCTTAATAAGGACCATGGGTGAGCCCAAAGAAGTCCCCACAAAGGAGGCTCCAGGAGTGCAGGGCTGGCGTTGCTTCCTTTCCAGGCCCAGG